GGAGGGATGGGCCGGGGAGACCCGGAGCGGTGCACGCGCGCACACACGCGGGTCCTCCCCCACAGGACACCCAGGGAGGCGCGCCCAGGACGCTCCCCTGAGGAACCGAGCCCCCCTTTAGGAGCCCCTACCCTCCTGGGGAAGGTGCGGCCCCTGCCCCGAGCCCGGGCGGGGCAGGGGTCTGCAGGATCTGCTGGCTGAGGGCGACACAGGTGGGGGCGGGGCGGCGGGGCGCCCCAGACCCCCTGGCGGGACCCCAGAGGCAGCGGCCCCTCCCCCTCCAGCCAAAGGGCTTCTCCGGGCGGGCAGATCCCTCCCCGCGGGCGCAGCAGCTGCCGCCACCATCTCGCGGCGGTGAGCAGATAGGGCGGGCTGGAGCCTCTCCCCAGGGCACCCCAATACAGAGCTGCAGCCCGCGAGGCGGGGCTGCCTTTCTCTCACGCAGTCCCCGCAGCCAGGCACCGAGGGTGTGGGCTGGGCGTCGTGCGCAGGGGGAGCTCGGCCGGAGCGCTCGCCCCTGTCCACCGCTCGGCGGATGCCAGGCGCTAAGAGGGGCAGCGCGGGTGGGGCGCAGCCGGGGCTCCCTGCGTGCACCCCCTCCCCGGCACACCTCTGCTTGGGTGAGGCCCTGGCCTGCTCTGGAGCGTGCGGTGGGTTCTTAGGTACAGGGCTGCCCCTCGGTGCCCAGCCTGCCCTGGGGACTGCTGGGCTTGAACTAGTGGCCTGGGCCTCTAAGATCCCTCCCCTCCCGGCTGTGCCCAGGCCCACACCGGCGGAGGGGTCTCTGCAGCGGTCGCCTCTCGTGGGGGGTCCAGGAAGGGGGCAGCGTCCTGGTCATCTTTCCTGCCCTGCGATGTTGGGGCGGGGCTGCGGGCTGGGCGCCCTCTGGGGCCTGTCTGGCATCTCCGTTGTTAATTGAAATGGCCAGTGGCAGCTCCCTAGAGCACAGGCCTGGCCGCGGGAAGGGTCTCTAACCCTCAGTACTTGCTGTTGTCCTTATTGACCAGAGCACAGAAAAACTACAAGGGACAGTCCACCAAATACCACGGAATTGTTCACTATAACACAATTCATCTTTGCAGTTTTTTTGAGACAGGGTCTGACTGTGTGGTCCAGGCTGGCCTTAAACTGACTATGGAGCCCAGGCTGGACTCGAACTTGTGACGATCCTCCTGCCTCAGCCTCCTGAGTGCTGTAATGACAGTCATGAGTGCCCTAAGAGACTTTAAAATACTTTTATGTTCTGTGAATTTCACCTCAATTTTCTTTTTCTTTTTTAAAGAGGGCAGAGTGTAGGGCTGGCTGGCTCTCCTTCCTGCCTCCCGCAGCCCAGGCTGGGCACGCCTCCTCCAGGTGGCCCCTGCCCCATCACAGCCTTTGAAGCTTTCTCTACCTGAGCCGCTTTCCCCTGGCACAGACCCTGGCCAGGCCTGCTCCCTGCGCCCTCCCCCGAGGACAGTCATGACACCAGGCCTGGCTCGGACAGAGTCACCGGCACGTTGGGTGCTGTGGTACATGCTTGTCATGCCAACTACCAGGGACACTGAGGGAAAAGAATGGCATGTTCTAGGTCTGCCTGGGCCACTTAGTGAGAACCTAGTTCATTCTCTCTCTTTCTCTCTCTCTTTCCCTCTCTCTCTCTCTTTTTGAGACAGGGTCTTGGTGTGTAGTCAAGGCTGGCCTTGAACTCACTGTGTATCCCTGGATAGCTGCTAATTTTCCATGATCCTCCTGCCTTAGCCTCCGAAGGGCTGGGATTACAAGGGTGCACCACCACACCCGGCCCCTAGTTAAAAGATTTAAATTTCGCTGGATATGGTAGTGCATGCCTGTAATCCCAGCCCTTGGGAGGCTGAGGCAGGAGGGTCATCATGAGTTCAAGACCAGCCTGGTCTACAAAGTGAGCTCAAGGCCAGCCTGAACCGCATAGCGAGACCCTGCCTCAAAAAGACCAAAAAAAGGGGGCTAGGGATTTAGCTCAGTGGCACAGCGCCTGCCTGGCAAGCTTGAGGTCATGAGTTTGATTCCCAGTACCGGAAAAAAAAAAAAAAAAAGACCAAAAAAACCAAAAAAAATTAAGTTTAAAAAATGTTTGTGGTGTAGGGGCTGGGGATTTAGCTCAGCGGCAAAGCGCCTGCTTGGCAAGCGCGCAAGGTCATGAGTTCGGTTCCCGGTACCGGAGAAAAACAAAAAAAAAAAAAAAAAAAAAAAAAAAAGTTTGTGGTGTCGCTCAGTGACAGAGTAATTGGCTAGCATGCATAAAGCCTTGGGTTTGATCCCCAAACTGCAACAATCAGTCACTGGGAACTGGGCAGGTGGCGTGTGCCTGTTATCCATTTCTGGGAAGCTGAGGCAGGGGGATCACAAAGTTTGAGCTCAGCCTGGGCAACTTAGAAACTTGAGACCCTGTATCAAAATTTAAAAAAAAATTAAAAATTAGAAAGAAGGCTAGACATATAGCTCAGTGCAGAGGCCCTAGTTTTGATCCCCAGTACTTAGAGAAAAAAAAAAATCTCACTGGAAAGCCTTGGCCGGCATCTGTTTTCCAGGCTGCTGTGGGGCCCCTGCCACCTCTGCTGAGCAGTGGCTCCCTAGGCCCTTTCTTGCTGTCCTGGGACAGCTCTGCCCAGGAGCACAGCCGCTCAGCCTGGCCCCGGCCCGAGAGGCCCCTTGGACTCTGCCCACTGATGCACCTTTTGGAGGGCCAGGCCGGCTCTCAGACCGAGGGGGAGCACCGCCCCCAGGGGAAGGGGCGTTCCTGAGCACTGCCGCCTCCAGCATCAGGAAGCTCCTATTTTAAGGTTCCCTGTGCAGAGCCACTAGTAAAGCTCAGAATCCTTTTATAGTGCAGGAGCCGCCTGCCGCGCCTGCCTGGCATGTGTGTGCTTGGGCTGCCGGGTTTCCTAAGACCGGGGCAGGCCTGGGACCTCCTGGACAGGCCAGAGTGGCAGGAGGAGGGTTGGGGGTTTCTCCCTCCTGGGACACCTCTCTTTTCCACACCAGACTCCCCTCTCTGGCTGGGGATTTCCAGAGGCGCAAGGGGGAGAGGGGCCATGCTGTCGCCCCCAGGCTTCCTGCCGCCCTCTCCCCTCCACCCTGGCAGAAGGGCAAAGTGGAGAGGAAGAGGAGATGGCAACGGCCTCTCCTGGTGCAGCAGTAGAGCGGGCTTTCTGGAGTCTGGGGGACCCGCGTGGGCAGGGCAGGAAGAACGAGGGTCTCACACAGGACCACGGAACCCGGCGCGGAGCTGGAGGCCGCCACGCGACTTCCTCAAGCTCTCTGAGCCTGGCTCCCCAGGTGCGCGGCGGGGGCAGGGTGTGGGCTGTGGCCCCGACTGAGTGTGGGAAGGGTGCAGCCCTGGAAGGTGCCGAGCACTCTGCAGCCCCTCTCCACCCTGTGCTTCCCAGCCCTGCTGAGGGCCGGCACGGTCCTTGTGCCCATGACAGCCCGGCATGCCCAGCCACAGGGGCCTGCAGAGCGACAACTGCTTCTCTCCCTGCACTGCGACTCAGACTCAGGCCTCCCACCCTAAGCCAGACGGGGCCGGGCCAGGGGGCCGTGGGGACCATAGCCCCGCCGACACCACAGAGGGCCCTCCTGCAGACCCTCAGCCTTCTCTCCTCTTGGGGGCAGAGGTGGAGGTGGGGCTTCCTCTCATTTTGCTCAGGGCTGCACTTGCACTGCTGTCACAGCACCATCCCACCTGTCCTGTGTGGGGTTCACTGCCCTGCCCCAAGTGCGGGCTCACTGAGGGCAAGCACATCACCTGCTTCAGCAAACCACCCCCCACACCACACAGAGGTTTGATGCAGTAGGGGCTCAGTGAACGTCTTTTGACTTGATTGAACTAGATGCCACCTGCCTTGGAGGTGCAGACTGGGGAGAGGGTGAAGTTGTCTTCGGAGGACACCAGAGGTCTTGGGGGCTGAAAACCAGGGGTCTCCACTCTGCGCTCCTCCTCTGCTCCACCAGGGGGCGCGCTTTCCCCTTTCGTGGGAGGGCTTCCCACCGTGGAGCTGGCCAGGTTTATGGCCCTTGGCAGGCGCTGGAATCTGTGTTTCACACTTTATAGACTTTCCTCGATTTCCGATTTCTGAGCATTCGGTTTACAACTTGTCATTCTGCAATAGTGTCAAAGCAATAACTCAGCAGTAACTGAGCTTGAATTTTGACTTTTCCCGGGCTAGAGGTGCGATCCTCTTGGATGGGGGGGCACCCACCCACCACAGCAGGCTGTGTGGCTAAGCTGGGATTCCCCAGCAGGGAGGTGCATTAAATACATTGGTCGTTTATGATATTTTGATTTTGTGGGGTATTTTTGGTACTGGGAATTGAACTCAGGGCTTTGTGCTTGCCAGGCAGGAGCTTGTCCCGCTGAGCTACATCCCCAGCGAGATTTTGAAGGTACAGTGTGTGAGAGGGGCACTTGCAAAACTCCATCCTAAGCCCAGGCAGGAGCATCTCTTGTTTAAAAACTGAGGTTCCAATGGTGCGTGCCCCTGTCCTCCAAGTCAGACAGCCACCCACGGGCACGATGGCGACTTGTTGGTTGGTTTTTTTGGGGACCGGGACTTAAACTCAGGACCTTGAGTTTGCCAAGCAGACGCTGTGCTGCTGAGCTATATACCTGGCCCCGGTATGGCGACTTGAACTCAGGGCTTTCTTCCAATGCTCAGTGCTGCTTTGAAGACATCATAAACCCTTGCCGGCTCCCGGAGCAGGGCTGATGGTGACGTTGACTCCGGCTGGGGACTCCCTGGGCTTCCCGGGCTCTCCTCCAGCCTCTGTCCTCCCTCCCTCCCTTCCTCCCTCCCTCCTTCTGAGTCCTGGGTTCTGGTTCCAAACCTGCTTCTCGGCTGCCCCTCCCCTCGAATCTGGGAGGGAAACTTCCGTCTGTTTCCTCAGCCCAGTGTCTCAGGGTCCTCCCCAGTGGCACCGTACGACCTTGCCTGCTGCTCTGCCAGTGACGCATGCCACTCCCGCTGCCGGCTTCCTCTCTGCCTCCTCTTCTGCCAGTCCCCACGTCTGGTCTCCTCACTCTCTGCCATCCGGAGACTCTGAGCCACACCCCGACCTCAGGCACCAGACGCCCCAGCCGAGCCCCGCTCCTGCCTGCCCTCCGGGAGAGGGACAGGGCTGAAACAGCCATCCCCGCCCACCGGCACCACAGCATGGACTCCGGAGCCCAGATGCCTGCTTGGCAGCCTGTGTGGTCTCGGATAAGATGCTTATTTCTCAGGGCCTCCGTTTCCTCAGCCAGAAAACAAAATACCCACTTCCGGGGGCCCTTGTGAGATGTAACTGGAATAATTTAAGGACTTGGTGCCTGGCTAGGCCCCTTTTTCTGGGAACACCCCAGACAACTGGTCTACCTGATATCCCAAACCTTGGAGCTGTTCTACAGTCTCCAGTCTCCTTCCTCCCACACTCAGTAGTCGCTGAGCCCCAGGGGCCTCAGGGTTTTTGTTTGTGTTTCTGAGCCAGGGTCTCCTTATGTAGCCCAGGCTGGCCTCCAACTCACAGTGATCCTGTTGCCTTGGCCTCCCGAGCTGGGATTAGAGGTGCGCCACCACACCTGGCTTCCAGGAGCCTCTGTTCCTTACTCCCTGCCCCTGGCTTGCTGCCCTCTGTCCTTTCTTGTCCTCGTCCTCTACCATGTGCCCAAGGGGACAGGGTATGTCTCTGCCTACAGTCTCTGCCAAGCCGGGTTTGGACGTGAATGTCTCGTAGGCCCAGTCACTCAGCCACACGGCGCCTGTTTCCGCCCTCACCCTTCCACACTTCCTGTCCGCACACTGCTGGAGCAGCCTCTCCTGCCTCCCTGCCTTTGTCCCCAGCCCCAGGCACCTCCTGCTGCAGCCCCTGTCCTTCCCAGCCTCGCACGGCTCCCCAGGGAGCTCACTGAGGCCTTGTCACTGGGAAGACCAGGCCGCAAGAGGGCAGGAGCCCAGCCCCGTCCCTGTGTCCTCTGCCCCTCAGCCCCTGCCTACCTGCTCCCCTGGACTCCGCGGGCTCTATTAGGGCTCCCCAGAAGCACTGTGAATGAAGGCAGGTGACCAGGCTAGGGGCCGGGACAGGATACATCCCCTCCAAGCCCGGCTCTCAGCCCCAAGCCCCAGGGAAAGAACACACAGGGGTGAAGCAGTTTTGGGGTGACAGCAGGATATAGGGGGTGGGCATTGGGAGCGGGGCAGCAGTGGCAGGAAGGAGGGGCTGGAGAAGGTGGACGGTGAGCGGGCAGGGGGGCAGCGAAGGCGCAGGAAGAGGTGGAGGGCGGAGGGTGGGGGGCCGCTTTCTGGGAAGTGGGGGAGGTGTGCCGCGCACTGTGGGGGAGGACAGCCTGCCGGTCAGCGTGAGCTCATTTCCTCTGCCGCCTCCTGCGGGGGCCAAGGGCACCGGGCTCTGGAAAAAGTGAGCCAGGGGCACCCAGTTCAGCCTGGGCTTCACATGCCAACCTCCGCCCGCCCTCCGACACTGCCTTTGTTCCGCAGGGAGGGCCCTGGTGCCGGGACACAGGTCGGCCGAGGAGCTAGCACAGGACTTCACAAGATGAAGCAGGAAAAATCAGAGTAGATGGTGACAGCTGGGTAACAGGAGGGACTTTCTAGATGTGGGGGATACCAAAGAAAAGGTCTGGGGACAGAGGGGGAGGTCACTAACTGTCTCCCACAAGTATGCAACTGATCCCTTATCTGTTATTTATCTATTTATTTATTTATTTATATTTTTGTCCTCTTGAGACAGGGTCTTGATATGCAGTTCAAGGTGGCCTTGAGCTCACTTTGTGGCCCAGGCTGGCCTCAAACTCACAATGATCCTCCTGCCTCAGCTTCCCTAGTGCTCGGATTACAGGTGTGCACCAACAGACCCGGCTCCCTTTTCTGTTGATAACAAGGGACTTTTTAAAAATAAAGCATAGGACTGAAAAACTCATCAGAGCTGGACGTGGTGGCAGTGCACAACTGTAATCCTCACACCCTGGGAGGCTGAGCAGGAGGATTGCAAGTTCAAATCCAGCCTGGGCAACCTAGTGACTTAATAAGACCCTGTTTCAAAATAAAAAATTAAAAAAGGACTGGGGATGGAGCTCATTGGGAAGGCCATGGCTTCAGTCTCTACTCTGGTGCACACATGCAGTCAGTATCTCCTGTGGGCCCACGGGACCAGGGACGGCCTAATTGGCATCAGGGCTACCCTTCTCCCACAGGGATCTGAGTTCCTGCCTCTGATCAAGGGCGAGGGGTGAGGAGTTGGGGCTAATCAGTGTTGAGGCAGCAGAGGGGGAAGCACTCAGGGGGCAGAGGTGCTATCCTGTTTACGGTACCTGCCTCCTCCAAATCCACGCGCTCCAAGTTTATGGGTGGCTTCGGCCTTCTTTCTCATAGCCTGGAAAAAGAGAGCCCTTAAAGTGGCAAGAAAGGCTGGGTGTCGGGGATGTACCTCAGTGGCACAGCCCTTGCCTGGCAAGCGCGGGGTCCTGAGTTCGATTCCCAGTGCCCCCCTAAAATGCTGCGTGTCGTGATTATGCCTGTAATCCCAGCACTTGAGAGGCTGAGGCAGGAGGATCACTGTGAGTTTGAGGCCAGCCTGGACTACATAGACCCTGTCTCAAAAAAGACCAAAAAAAAAAAAAAAAAAAAAAAAAAAAAAAAAAAAAAAGCCAACAAACAAGCAAACACAAAAAACGGCAACAAGGCCTGGGTAAGAGGTGACCCTAGGTGACAGGAAAAAGGAGGAAGGCAGAACTGGACAGCAGGAGGAACTTCCCACCACGACGGAGGGCAGGGGGACTGCCCCCCTCGACTGGAGAAGGTCCTACTGGGGACAGGGATGAGAAGCAGCGTGAACTCAGGAGGGGTCGCCTTAGGGCAGCCCTGATGAGTGGGGAGACTCCCTGGGTGGCGGGGTTGTAGCACTGCGGCCCCGCCCCGCTTCTTGGACTGAGGGGCACCCCGAGCCCTGCAGCATTTCTGCCTTCATCTGTAGGGTGAGGCGCCCCGAGCCTCGGCCCCCTTTCCTCCTGAACCCCTCGCCTCTGCATTTCTCAGCCTTCCAGGCTTGCTGGGTCTCCGCCTCCGTTCCCTTCCTCCCTCCCTCCCTTCCTCTCTGCCACTGGTTCTGACCTGGTGGCCTCGTCCCCTTCCCTGGGCCCAGACGTCCGGCCGTCTGGGCGGGACCCCTGGACGCCCGCACAGCGGTGACTCGCGGCTCCACCTCCCGTAAACCGCCCTCGGCTGTTCCGCTTCCGCCGCCCTTGGGAGAGGCCGCCCGTGCGCCCCGTCGGGGGCGGGGCGGGGCCTAGGGGCGGGGCCTAGGGGCGGGGTCAGAGGCCGGCTCCGCCCCCAGGTC